GGGACAAAGGCGGGGGCTGCGAAATCTATGAAACCACGAACCAAAACCCTGATGTAAAACTTAATTTTTTCAACCCTTAAGAAATTGTTGTTCCGGTTGTGGTTCAGAATGTTGATCGAGTATGGATTGAAAAAAAGCGACTAGCCCCTTTGTAGCCTCTGCGACAACTTGCAGACGAACGGGAAGCGTAGACCGCTCGTGTAACGCGCGTTACACGATGGTATGGTAGATGTGAGAAAGGACCAGACGCCCCACGGGCGGTGCCGCAGGTGCTACCTTGCTGGGAGTGACGAACGCCCACGCCCAACAAGGGCGAGCGAGTGGTCGCGCGGTTGTAAAAGCCCTGGCGCGACGCGGAACAATCTGGGGCCCGGCAATGGACGGAATTGCATGCCCCCGTCCGCAGGGTCCGTCCCGCTTCCATGGCCCAGAAATACCCGAGCCCGAGGGCAAGGCCAGGTCGGAAATGGTCCACCAAAAGACGGCACACTAGCCCCAAAGCGAGTTTTTTTTTGATTAAAAAACGAACCCGCTGAATTTGTTAAATCAAAGAAACAGCCCGGGTTTCAAGGGTAGAGAGGCCACTTCTGCAACCCCGAACAAAGGATCCGACCAAGGATCCGACCAAGGTTCAAAGTCTCCAATCACGGCGGTATGGCAAAAGCATCAGAGGCGAGAAAAAAGTTCCTAAAAAGTTCCGCTCAAGATCCGATAGAGTTCCGATCAAGTTCCGATCAAGATCCTGTCCAGAGGACACTTTTTTTGCCGCTTCTCCTGGCCTCTCCCCCGACTAGAATCTATGGATTTGGCGACGCAAAAAAAGAGGCATCTGAGAGGACCTTGATCGGCATTTGCTCGGAACTTTTGAAAATGGAGGCGGCGGCCATGAACTCCGGAAAGTGGCCCCATGCCCGGCCGAATTCCACTGGAAAATACTCCTGAGTACGAAAATTGTGCCGCGGGGAGACAACTCCCACCCTTGCTTGACATGCTTTCTGCAGGATTGGCCTGCCGATCCCCGCGACCCCAAGAAGCAAAACACTTGGCACCCACCGCATCGCGCCAAAGGCCATCGCCTCTCTGCGGGCTCCCGGATGCTGGGCAGGTAGAATGCCTGCAGTCGAAACACCTCTGCGCCACCCCCTTCCCAATGTCCACGACAAGGCAAAGCGAAGGCCAAAAAATTGGGCCTGATTCGTAATTTCGGGGCGCGGAAGTAGCCCAGCGGCCAGGATCTTGATAGGATCTTTTTGGGATCTCAGACGCGCTGAAGTGGCCCGGCGTTCCGTGAGTAAGTTGTGGTTCAGAATGTTGATCGAGTATGACTTGAAAAAAATTCAAGGCCCTGTCACTCGCCCCAAGTAACTTGCAAGGCCAGGCAGGTTGCCTGGGCACGATATGGGCGAACAAACCCGCCCAGAACAACTCCACACTTTCGGCGACAAAAAGGAGAGCAAAGCGAAAGCAAAAACTTATTTTATTAGCTCGGGGGAAGCTCCCGAAAAAAGTAAGTTTTTGCTTCGATTGCGGCGGGCCTTTTCGGAGCAAGACCCTGACCAAAACCCTGCCGCTTTGTCGGCAGCCATCACAGGGGCAAGCATCTCTTTGGCTGGCCAGGAAGGTGATCTACCTCTCCCTCCGCACGTCGCCGCGCAAGATTGCGGAGCGAGATCCGGAGGCAGAAAAGACGGGCAGCCTGCTCCGCGTACCAAGGAACGCGCGAGGCGAGGCGGCTTGCCTGGCGTAGATGCCAGCCTAGATCTCGAGGGAAATGCTGACCCCCAAATCAGCCACCGTGCGATCGTCAGAATTGTGGCGACACCTCGCACAAAATCTGGATCGGCATCAAGGTAGAAGGGCCTTCAGCTCTGAAGGCCCGGCGGCTTTGGTTTTGCCAGCCAGACGAAATACGAACCAAGGCACCACCTGGACAACTGCCGGGCGGTGCGAAGAGGGACAAAGGCGGGGGCTGCGAAATCTATGAAACCACGAACCAAAACCCTGATGTAAAACTTAATTTTTTCAACCCTTAAGAAATTGTTGTTCCGATTGTGGTTCAGAATGTTGATCGAGTATAAATATGAAAAAAATCCGCCACGCGGACGGCGTTGTGTTGCGCTGCGGATCAGATGCGCGAATATCGTCGTGTTTCGATTTTTTTTTCTGGGGGACGTAGAACGCGAACGCCTAAGCCTATGCTACATACTTATTCAGCCGCATGCATCTGAATCATGTCTGTGTAGTTCGCAATCGTAAAACCTCGCCGTCAATGACCCACCTCGGACCCTTGTTCAAGAACAAGAATCGCCCTACTAAATTCGAAACACACGACGACAATCAAACATGCCTGAACCACAAAGCACAACAGGCCGCTAAGATGCAGCCAGCTGGGGCTTTCTTTATTTGTTTACCACCCTTACATATGGATTGCAAAAATGTCTGGGTCTGGAAGACTGCAGGAGTTTGTCATGCAGATTTTGCATGATCCATGAGGTCTGTGATGCATGCTCTAGCATCAGAGATTTTGCGAGGGCTTTCTGATGCTCATACCGCATGAGAAATGCCCTCTCCGCGTAGCACAAAATACACCTCTTTTGCTGTTCATGCAATACAGATTTTATGTAGAGTCCAGAGGTAGCATCACAAGTTGCATCCTTCCAGACCCAGACATTTTTGCATTTGATATTACACGCTCCACACTGGGCAACATCTTCTCCAGAAAGGCTATGGATCTGTCAGGATTGAAATCGCCAAAGTTGAAATAGTAGTTTGTCATGCATAAAATGCAAAGCATGCGGCGCCTGTCTTGCCGGGATGGCAAGTATGGCCGATTGTGAGCCTGTTTAGGGTTTTAAATAGAGCTGCTAAGATAGCATGACAAAAGCAGTCTTCTGGGCCTAAGCAGCATGACAAATTGGATTCCGGTGCTCGGAAAATTTGTCATGCGCCGCTTGATAAGTGGGCTTCCGACTGGCATCCATTTTATGCATGGCAAATCATTTCAACTTTGACGATTTCAATCCTGACACTCTCATAAAGGCATTTGTTACCGTAATTTCCTCGTAACTCGCAAACTTTCCCTGCTTCACATGGTTCAGCAGACCACCCGATAATGATGTGTGCTGAGAATTGTCTTCTTGTTCTCTAGTACAGCCAACGTGGCCATCTGCACCAGCCGCACTTTGCTGTCCTCTTGTATTTATTGAAGAGAACACCGCGACGTTGCCAGGATGCTTTCCAGCGGGGTTATTTCCGGCTTTGATTCTCTCATCTGCGTCTTTCACGGTGTCGAGAAAGAGGAAATGTTCGCGCCCGAAAATCTATGGATTGCAAAAGTATCGCACTCGTACTTATAAATGCATTACAAATTTCCTCAGCATGAGAAACAAAATTTGTAATGCTGATTTACCTTAAGAAAAAGATTTGTAATTACATCACTGCAATACGAGTACGATACTTTTGCACAGGATAAAATCTTCCTCTGGCCCTTGTTCCCCGGCGAAGAGGATGTTGAAGAAGAGGAAGCAGATGTAGTTGCTAGTCGTGTGTTTAGTGCCTTATCAAGTGCAAATATGTCTGGGTATGAAAGAATGCATGTTTGTCATGCTTGTCTGGCATGCCTCTTAAATCTGTCATGCGCGTTACCCGAGAGCTCAGCTTTTCGGTAAAGGTGTAGACCAGGGCCCCTGGGACCAGGGCCCCTAGGACCAGGGCCCCTGGAATAGGGGCCCCTGGGACCAGGGCCCCTACAGATTGGGGCCCCTACGGACTGGGGCCCCTACGGAGTGGGGCCCCTACGGACTGGGGTCCCTACGGTGTCTCGGAATCTGGCATCCCG